TAATTCGCGCCCAAAAATGTTCGGAGTCGAAAGTTCGGAAGTTCTCGGAGTCGGCCCACCCTTACAATGCATATATGAGGCCTCTACTGTAAAACAAAAACTTTTTTTTTAAAGAAAGAAAAACAAAAAAAGAAACAGTAGGCACAAAAATATTTCCTGTTTAAAAAAAAAAAAGATGATATCCCCGACTACTTATGCCATGGCAACTGTCGTACACTGTTATGCATGGTATATAATAGGATATGCTATTTTTATTATACATGTAGTTGATTGATCGATATCTTTGAAAGTTTATTGAGGCTTGAGGAACAAGGAAGAAAGGTAGTAATTTTATAGGCTATTCATGGACTGATACAGAACATAAAGGACAACGGCGATATTGCTATGGAAAACGTGCTAAGGCACGCTAGGGGAACCCATTGTATTTGTGGGAGCTACAAAACGCGTATTTATTCAAGGTATCGCTTTTTACATTGCTACCTTTGTAGCACTATCAGCTGGCAATTGACCGAATTATGTATTGTTTATTTGCTTTTGTTTTGATCACGTGACAGGTTTGGTCACATGAGTTGGCTTTTCAACTAGTTAGTCACGTGCCTCGTCAACATCTGTATTGCCAAATCGACTTTAAAAAACAAAACTTGAAAACTCTATACAAACTACTAAGCGGTTTACGCATTTGGTTAGCTTTAAAAAAAAAAGAAGAAAAAACACTATTATGTATCCTTTTGTAAAGCATCATACTCTTGACGAAAACTGGTTTGGGCATAACGCTTAAAAAAAATAAAAAATTCAGTAGGCTACTGCATGATGCACCGGTAATTTCAACGCTGTCGGCTCCATCTAGATCTAGTAGAATCTTAAAAGGCTGAGTTTTTGTAGTAAACATAAATTATAGTATTACTGTATCAATACCATTAGGCTGTTGAATACTTTTTCTTTCCAGTGTTAATAATAATATGTTTGGGTAAAATGTTGTTGTATCTTATTTATGCCGGTGGCATAAGAGGAAAAAGTATTGATTTGGCCTCTCACTGGAAAGATATCTGGCAACCTTTATGGTTCCGTGGCCGTTATCTTTCACAACTGTGAATGAAACGACTTCCTACATTCTCTGTTTAATCAGTGTCTGCTGCGAGTGCATTCTTGTACTTTTAGAGGGACTGGAACTTCTTGGTTTATTTCAGTACAGACATTGAAAACAGGGTCTTCAGTTCTTCCCTTTCGTAGCAGCCAAAAGTCAAAATGTATCGGATTGTCTCGCAGTCTATTCTTTTTGTTCTTCTGGTGTGTTGTGCCGAAGGATTCCGTTTCCCAACATTTGGGAAGAAGAATTCAAGATTTCAGGTACCATCATCGCTCTCGCGGCTCAGCCAGTACAACTTGAAGTTCAATCCTGAAAATGTCCTGGATAAGTTGTCTGCAGTTCAAAACATGAAAATTGACGACGAACTGAAGAGCATGTCCCCTTTCCTTTTGAGAGGAGAGCCAGTTTTTGCAAAGCAGGAGCCCAAATTGTTTGGGATGTTTGTGAGTATACACAATCATTACTTACACTTACACTACAGTTAAGCACCTAATTCTAGACTAGATCTAGATATATCTAGAATCGAGATCTCTTTAGCAGTTTCGCAACCACGGTGATTTTTTGTCGTATATCTCAGTTTTTTTAAGCAGTAAAAATGTAAGACTTGGTTAGAGTTAGAGAAAGAGGCATCATTACAGGCAGCACTTGTAATGCCATTTCCTCCCTGTCAGCTGTCCATGTTAGTTACTGAACTAGCTTACTACTGACCTATTAAACACTGAAATATATGGGGACAGGATGGCTGTCTCAAAGGGACAATTTATTGGCTAGGTTAGCACATGGCAATCCTTAGTCAACTTGTCAGTGAGTAGTGAGGGAATCATGAATGGCGTGCACTATGATTTTTCTACTGTGTAGCCTACTGTGTGGTGTGACAAACTTTGTCATTGTGTATTCATGATATTATTCTTGACATGTCATTAATAAAAATTAGAATTTCTTCTTCTTCCAACCCTTCACCCCTCCTTTTCACAGAATTCAGCCAAGCCGGTATCGGGAAAACTAGGAGCTTTCCACTGGGAATCCTGTGGGCCTGCCGACCAAACCATCAACATCCGCAACCTCACCCTTGGACCTTCACCCCTGTACCTGCCCGGAAATCTCAAAGTTGGTTTTGACGTGGAATTTCGCAAGTCCATCTCTGAATCAAACAAACTGCAAGTAAGTACTGGGCAAAAGGCACTCTACACTACTATTGAAATTTTTGTCATACATTGTCACAGTCAGAGGACGGAATTGTCTAAAAAATTGTCACTTTTTTGCCCTAGATTCTAGGTCAGGGGGCATCCCCCCCCCCCCCCTGAAATCCCCAATGTTTTTTAAAAACAAGTCAAATATTTTCGTATGCCATTGGTCCTATTGTATTAGATAGGCCTTTATATAGATAGTTCGTATAACAATCCATACCCCCATAAACTAACTATTTGCTGTGCATTTATAGTCAAAATTTGTATAACGCAGATAAAGATGAACCACCATTTTGCATTTTGGTACAATGTAACAGTGACCTTCCAAGTCAAACCTGAGTCATACGTCATGTGGAATTGGTCGAGTGAGTAACTGACCAACCAATTGCAAGTTCTATAACCTACGAGTCAGAGGGATCTTTGACTACGCATGTAATGTGATGATGGACAGCATTAATTTAGAGAGGCTGGTAATTCGCAGATGGTTGGCAGGTGCTCTGGTGTTGTTTGCTCCTTCTTTCCTATCAAACGTCTACCCCTCCTTGTAAAAAATCTCTCCTCCTTTTTATAACACTTCTAATCTTCGGCTCATATAATATGACCTTATTTGGTTGCAAGTGCTGTAAAACTGTTACTAAAACTAAAACAAAAAAAACTGATAGTGAGAGTGTAAGCTGTTGAAATCCCATATTTTTATAAATGGAATTCAAGAACCTCCAAACACAACGACCACAATGTGGTAGTCAACACTTGGAAGTCATCTATTCTAAGACAAATGAAATGGCTGTATTGCGGATGAAAAGTTTTTGTACAGCTGCACAATGCGGTGCTGGAATAACCTCTGACTACCCCAGGATATACGATACAAGGTCTCCAGTGGTCCAAGTTTTCTCCGTCTTAGCTTCAAGTCAAGTTTGATGAAGCCGCGCATGGCAAATGACAGGGGTGTAACTCTTTGATTGCGGATCGTCACTTGAATGGTGTGTTGATGATGCCAGTTTCGTCAACCCTGAGATCTGTACTTGGGTCCTGTGCTCCATTTACTGTCACATCTATTTTCACCACTATTGGGATTCTCTGTCCAATCACGAATAGTTTGAAGAGTCCTAACACAAACAAATCCATCAATATTTGACTGAAATACTGAATTATAACCGTTTTAAGGCTACTACCTTCATCGTTTCAAACTATGCTTTAAATTGTGGAATCACTTGTTTAAGTACTGAAAGAAGTTAAATTCTATAGGGCATTATGGTAATTTTAATTTACTATAGGGCATTATGGTACAGTTACTACTTGTGGTCATTGTTTGAATAATAGGTAGTGTGCCCCCCCCCCCCCCTCCCCCAGGGCAGTGCTACTGACTCAAGTGTCTTTAGGCCATTCCCAAAGGGGGGGATATTAACATGTTCTTATGCACAGTAAAATTGTAAACTGGCAGATTTATCAGTGCCATGCTCATACTGTGCTGGAACAACATACGGGGAACTGCTGCTTTTTTTTCCCCTCATCCTTACTATAATACTATCGTCATTTTTCCTCTACCTCTTTTGTATGTTTGTCACTCTCTTGTGAACTGCTATTTTCGGGGTGCCTTGATAGTCGAAGTAGACTTTTTATGCTGTTGAGGCAATAGAGGTGAGCAGAGTAAGCCTGGTTTCCCATTTGGACTTCTCTGTTGACATCCACCCCTTGGCACTCATATGACCTTATGTTGTGCAGTTATGGAATCACTTCTTGTTAACTGAAAGAATTTAATTCTATAGGCGATTGTGGTTTGTTTATTACACACTTGTGTTCATTGTTTAAAGAATAGATATATTGTGGTTTGATTTAATTTGTAGCCACATGCATTGCAGGCTTGTTGTATCCCTTTTGTCACACACAGGGAAAATTGCAGTTGCAGCTGCAGACCGGAGGGTCATGGCTCAATATACCGTGCATCGGCAACATAGGCTCATGTTCCTACTCCGACCTGTGCAGTCTGTCGCAGCTGATTCCTGCATGTCCCCCAGAATTTGTGGCTGCGAACATCCCGTGCAAGTGTCCCTTCAACAAGGTAAGAGAGAGATGTGTGGGATGCGCCAAAGATTAGAGGTGCTACAAGAGAGTAACAAACAAAAAAGAAGAGGAGAGATAAAGACAATAATTGTTTAATAGGAAAGAAGGAGTTGTTGATGGCCTATGCTCCACTGGGAGTTAAAAAGGGAAAGAGAGAGAGGAAAGAAGGAGCAAACCACACCAGAGCACCCGCCAACCACCCACCCAAATTATTTTTTACAAAGGGAAGGGGATCAAATAAGCAGAAACGATGTAGTAAAACATATTCTTGTACAACCTGAGAAACAAGAGTTCATAACGTTCTGACTGCGTACAAGAGTCAAGGAGTGAAGTGGTTGTAGTAAAGAGGTGGCGTCGTTGGCCTAGTGGTTAGGCTCTCGGACTCGCAACCGTAAGGTCGTGGGTTCGAATCCCGTCAGGGGCCCGACGTTGTGTCCTTGGGAAAGGCACTTTGCACAAATATTCCTCACTTCACCCAGGTGGGAATGGGTACCCAGCTATAGGCAGTGAAAGATCTTGTCAGTTTGTTAGTGTTTGAGCGCTTAATCAGCTGCTTGCACTGTATGCTTCCCGGGAAGCTGAGAATGTTTCTGAGTGTTCTATGGTCTACTGGGGTAATAATATAGTGTAAAGCGCATAGAGCTTGCTGTTGAGTGGGGTTATGCGCTATACAAATGCTATATATATTATTATAATGTGGTATAATCAATGAGCCAACCTGGCATTGTATTAGACATCTACAACTGGTTGTACTACTCGAATAAATTTGGCTTGGGGTTGGCCTGCTGAACACAATGATGGCTGCACGTTTAAATCTGTTCCTTTGTACAGACCGTTCTTTGTAACTTATTGTAAGTGGCTTTAGTTACCCCGTGTGGCCTAAGTAGCCCCGGCTGACGGTAGGTACAACACCACATATAACAGTGTCATTATAATATAGAGAAAACCCCCCCGAAAAAAAACCAACAAAGACACGTGGGTGCTTGGCAGGTGCTCTGGTGAAGTTTGCTCCTTCTTTCCTATAAAAAATCTATCGTCTCTATCTCCACTCCTTTTTTGTGTTTGTTACTCTCTTGTAACACCTCTAATCTTCGGCACCTATGTGACCTTATTTTGTTGCAAGTGCCGTAAAACTCATAGAAAAACTAAAATGAAAACACAATAGGTGAAGTTGAAAGTTGTTGTTTGTACGGGTGATTGTCTTGGACAGGTGGTCATTTGAGCAGGTTTCACTGTATTTTCAGAGAAAAACAGAGAGAATGATTCGATGTCACACTACAGGTGTTACCAATAGCCTATGTATTGTTAGTATACACACACGACTGTAAACTGGAGAGGCGAACACACACGACACCAAGCAATCTAAATAATGAGCCCGGGTGTAGTGTCTGACTTTTTATGTTGATCCCCGAAGTGAGTAACATTAACCAAAAGCCCATGGCATACGGGGCGCTTACGTCTCGTGATTTAAAAAGAGTAAGGTACAATACGGTGACTAGGTGACTACCGTGACAGCCTCCTCCATGGGTGAGCCAGCTCATTAGCTCATTGAGTGCTGAGGGATAAACCCCCCGCCGCCCCCC